ATTTTGCCTTTTTTTCATCAATTATTGCTACTTTGCAACATCGGTAATAAATTTAAACATTTTTAACTTACAGTATATTGTGCAAAATTCAATTTCAAAACTTTTTTCCTCTTCAATATTCTCCCAAAATGGATAGGTTTTAAGATATGAGTAAAAAACTCAGATAAAATAGATATTTTTTAAGATTTTTTAAACATTTTTGCAATTTTGAAAACGTTCCGGACCTCGCCCAGATCTAGGGATCTACACTTTTATTATGTGAGTTGTATTGAAGATAATCCAGAAAAAATTATCTTGCCCGCTCTAACATCCAAGAAGTGGAATATTTCAACAAATCCTCCATGGTCTATTATTCTACTTGTAAAGGACCACATATTCTGAAAGTATCGTAAAAAATATTTTTTCATTTTAAAGATATAGTTTAAAAAAAAATGCGATTTTTAGCCGTTTTTTTGCAATAACTAATACATTTGTTTATTAATTGACATAAAGCTGGGATCAAAATATTGTGTTATAAATAGTTCTATATATTTTAAAATGTTTTTTTTTTTAAATAGAAAAATTGTTTTTTGCTAACTTTGGATGCCATTTTGAAAATAAAGCCCCAACATTCAGTTCTACGGAATTTTTCCTAATTTTTACGTTTTTTTTCTTTACTGAACTAAATTTTGGCAAAAAACGAGAAATTTTCGAAAATTTGACTGTCCTTGGAGAAATCTAAATAAACTTTGTGTTCTAGCTCTCGTTGTAGGCGAAACTCATTTGAAATTAAAATAACTACTTTGATGAAATTTTAGGACCAGGTTACGAAAGCGCAACGAAGAAGACATAAAGTCCCCGTCCACTCCAACGGACAACAAAATGGATATGGAAGTAAAAATCAAAAAGGAACCGGACGTCAGGTCGGTCGAGGCCCTGACGGAAGAAATCGAGACCGTCACCATCAGCGACGAAGAGGACGGTACGTTCCCGAATAAAATCAAACCTGTCCCTCGTTTAATTCAAGTCGTTTTTCAGAGGGCCGCGAAGTGCTGAGTTTCAACCCGAAAGCAAACACAGGACTCGACGAAAAAGGCCCCACTTATATTTCCGTCAGGGAGCTGTTCGGAGAGGACGAGTGCGTGTACGTTATGGACGCCAAGAACGCGGGCAACATCGGACGGTTCTTGAACGTAAGCTAATATCTCTTCGCATTAAGCCGATAATTCTACCAACGACCTTTTCAGCACTCTTGTTCTCCGAACGTCTTCGTCCAGAACGTGTTTGTGGACACCCACGATCCCCGTTTCCCTTGGGTGTCGTTCTTCTCGTCTCAGTTTATCCGTGCGGGCACGGAACTTACCTGGAACTACAACTATGACATCGGCAGCGTGCCCGGCAGGGTGTTGTACTGTCACTGCGCCTCTTTGGAGTGCAAGGGAAGGTTGTTGTAAGCGTGGCGTTGTGCGTTAACGTTTTTATGTCGGTGTTTATTTCCGGTTTTCCGTCAAGGTTTTCAAATAGTTATATAAGAAAAATTAAATAAAAAAAACTATTAGAAAGTGACTTGTGTTTATTCTGCTTTATTTGGCGTAGCTTGAGTCGGCGGTTGGGAGTGTCGATATTTTTAAAACAATTGAAATTGTATGTTAGATTTCCAAAGTCTACTATGATGATTAAATTGCTGTCAAGTTAGTTCTCAAAACAATTGAAGAAGTATGTTAGATTTCCAAAGTCTACTAAGACGATTAAATTGCTGTCAAATTAGTTCTCAAAACAATTAAAAAGGTACATTAGATTCTCCAAAGTCTACTAAGATGATGAATTTGCTGTCAAGTTAGTTCTCAAAACAATTGAAGAAGTACGTTAGATTTCCAAAGTCTACTAAGACGATTAAATTGCTGTCAAGTTAGTTCTCAAAACAATTAAAAAGGTACATTAGATTCCCAAAGTCTACTAAGATGATGAAAGTGCTGTCAAGTTAGTTCTCAAAACAATTGAAGTAGTACGTTAGATTTCCAAAGTCTACTAAGATGATTAAATTGCTGTCAAGTTAGTTCTCAAAACAATTAAAAATGGAATTTAACTTCCGATTATTTTAAAATTATAATTTTTGAAAAAAAGTGAATTGCAAATTGATAAATGTAATCTAATTGTTTAAAAATAAAAATAGAGTGTTAACTTTATAAATTTACTGTGGCCATCCTAATCAACCGATTTCAATTTTTCAAAAACCATTTGAAAGGTTGAGCGGTCTTTCTATGTGAAAAACTTTTCCAGTATCTAGATGCTTTATTTGCAACATTTTGAAAATTCGAAAAAATTTTTTCAAAAAATTATTTTGCGAAAACTATCAAACCGATTTAAGATGATGAAATTGGTGTCGAGTTAGTTCTCAAAACAATTGAAAATATACGTTAGATTTTCAAAGTCTACTAAGATGATGAAATTGCTGTCAAGTTAGTTCTCAAAACAATTGAAGAAGTACGTTAGATTTCCAAAGTCTACTAAGACTATTAAATTGCTGTCAAGTTAGTTCTCAAAACAATTGAAAAGGTACATTAGATTCCCAAAGTCTACTAAGATGATGAAAGTGCTGTCAAGTTAGTTCTCAAAACCATTGAAGTAGTATGTTAGATTTCCAAAGTCTACTAAGATGATTAAATTGCTGTCAAGTTAGTTCTCAAAACAATTAAAAATGGAATTTAACTTTTTTCTATAAAAGAAGCGTCTTTCCGAGTATTTTAAAATTATAATTTTTGAAAAAAGTGAATTGCAAATTGATAAATGTAATCTAATTGTTTAAAAATAAAAATAGTGTTAACTTTAAAAATTTACTGTTACCATCCTAATCAACCGATTTCAATTTTTCAAAAACCATTTGAAAGGTTGAGCGGTCTTTCTATGTGAAAAAATGTTCCAGTATCTAAATGCTTTATTTGAGGCTGTGCAACATTTTGAAAATTCAAAAAATTATTTTGCGAAAACTATCAAACCGATTTAAGATGATGAAATTGGTGTCGAGTTCTAAAAACAATTGAAAAAATACGTTAGATTTTAAAAGTCTACTAAGATGATGAAATTGCTGTCAAGTTAGTTCTCAAAACAATTGAAAAAGTACGTTAGATTTCCAGTCTACTAAGACGATTAAATTGCTGTCAAGTTAGTTCCCAAAACAATTGAAAAAGTACATAAAAGTACGTTAGATTTCAAAAGACTACTAAGATGATTAACTTCTTGTCAAGTTAGTTCTCAAAAACTATATACAGGGTGAGTGAAACTCGACGAATATCCCGGAAGTTATTAGAGATAGAAAAATTATATGTTTTCGAACTGGATATTCAATAAAAATTAAGCTGCCGCAAATTCAACAATTTGATATGTCTGTTGGTGCATTGGTGGAGTGGCATAACTGTTAGCGATTTCTGTCATTAGGGGTAGTCCTCGGCAGCGTCCTGCATATACAGGGTGTCCGTTAAAGAATGGACCAAACTTTACCACTAGATTCTACAACAAAAATTAATGGGAAAAATCATATACAGTATTGCTCATAAATGCTTTGTTTTCCAGATACAGTGTTGAATTTAAAAAAAAAAACTCTCTTTAATATCTTTCAATTACTTCGAGCTAATTTCGTCAAATTTCTTATCCTGGGGTATTTTGGGAATAGAAATTAGAATTTATCAGTTTCGTTGTATCTTCTAGAGAGCGTCACAAACAACCATTAGGACGCATTTAAACTGCCAAAACTTTTTTGTGCCACACCTTGGGCTGAAAAAATTTTTCCCCCAACTTTTCTGTTTAAAAATATCTTGCTAATATCTCTAAAGGCAACCTTTTTCAACTAAAAGGCATTTAAATTTGTAAATGCATAAAAAATTTTGCTTAAGTTATTTTCGTAAACTACAGAAATCTGCAACCACAGATCGAATCAATAGAAATCAATGGGTTGCTGAGTTTTTTGTATTGATAAATTTGTTTCGTTTTAGATTAACGTAATAAAGGATTTATTGAATCAATCGTCTGAACTTCCTTGCTGTTTTTTTAATCGTTTTTTACCTAAAATGAGTTTACCTGGTAGAACTAACTAACGCCAATGTTGTGTTCCAAATTGCTAAAGCGCTTACTATAAGAATGTCTGTAATGGAATAAAAGATTTTTCTGAATTACAATAGACGGACAATTACTGTGGATAGAATCAGTCCAAAAATTATGCAAACCAAGTTTACTCTGACAAACACAGATCGTTAAAAATAGTAACAGCAATACTTCCAACAGAACTGTTGTGACGACATTATTTTTAAAATCGACTACAAGTTCTCATATTAATTGTAATAATATCACTTCCGATAGTATCCAGTATTCACCAAAACAGTTTGTTAACGCACCATTACAGAATTTTGAGAGTACGAGCCATGGATAATCTCCATGGTACGAGCTGTCAAACTTCAATTTCGGATGATTTTTCACCTCTATCTTGTAAAAAACCGAAATACACATATTCATAATTGTTATTTGCTATTAGTGTACTATGAGTACTTCAATTCCCACATTTAAAAGAAATCAGCAGTATTCTACATCGTACTATATGTTCTTTTTATTCTTCTAATGCATTTTATTACATTTAAATTTACCGCCATTGTGGTGCAGCGACATCTATTAAACAGTAGAATAAGAGGTTACTCTAAGAAGACAATAAAGCAATCCTTTTTATTTAAGTCATAATGCTTACCAGTTAGGCAACTGTAATATCTTTGATCTCGTAGCAATTAAACTTTTATGAAATAGATGGAGCCTCTTTAATTTTTCGAAATGCGAAACCAGATTTCAGGAACAGTTTTGTAAGGATCTCGAAAGCTTCGGGAAATAAAACACATTTTATCGTCTAATCAAGTATATGGAAAACAATTTATTTTATGCTCTTTAGATTCAACAAAAACATGATAAAAAAACACTAGTTGGGACTTAATTACAATTATACGGTGTGTATATAAAATGCTGCTAAACGGAAAGGGAGAAACCATGATATCATTACNTTTTCCTCACTTGTTTAAATAGAAAAGTTAGCTAATAACTCACAAGAAGGCATTCCTGATTAAAATTTTTTTTAATCTTTAAAGACATTTTAAAGACAAGCAAAAATTTTAATCAAGAATGCCCTTTTCTCGTGAAATGAATACAAATTTTTTACTGCCCGTTTCTATCAAAGTAGGCCGATTCATACACAAATTGAAATTATAGTATAAATTTCAGTAATACAAGTAATATTTTCCCTTTTTTCCACTCTAACCGTGAACATACTGTACTTATACAGGGTGATTCAGTCATAATGTCATTAATTTTAAGAGCAGATAGAGAAAAATGAGTATAATACGACGGCGTGATTAAAAAAAAAATTAAATGCATATTTAAGCTGAAAAAAAATATTTTCAAATCATTATTTAACCCCCTTTTCAGGCTTTTACTGACCGGCTGACGTCACAATATTATGCACGGCTATGATATGAACCTATGAACAACGCGCCCTAGATGCAACGTTGCCATATTTATATATTTTCGCTCATATAAAGACAATAAATAAACGGTTTTGCTCACCTCAGCCAATAATAACTTAAAATGCTATAAATTATTTTTTATTTATGCAATCAACATATTAAATTGTTATTGTTGCCCAGCAAGAACCTCGAGGTCTGANCAATTCCCACATTTAAAAGAAATCAGCAGTATTCTACATCATACTGATATATGTTCTTTTTATTCTTCTAATGCATTTTATTACATTTAAATTTACCGCCATTGTGGTGCAGCGACATCTATTAAACAGTAGAATTGGAGGTTACTCTAATTGTGTTGTCCTATGCAGTTTCCTTAATTATTTTATGGTCTATGATTATCGAATCCACCGTTTGCTACACTAACCACAGATGGCGCATTCTGCCGACAGAAGACAATAAAACAATCCTTTTTATTTAGTCATAATGCTTACCAGTTAGGCAACTGTAATATCTTTGATCTCGTAGCGATTAAACTTTTATGAAATAGATGGCGCCTCTTTAATTTTTCGAAATGCGAAACCAGATTTCAGGAACAGTTTTGTAAGGATCTCGAAAGCTTCGGGAAATAAAACACATTTTATCGTCTAATCAAGTATATGGAAAACAATTTATTTTATGCTCTTTAGATTCAACAAAAACATGATAAAAAAACACTAGTTGGGACTTAATTACAATTATACGGTGTGTATATAAAATGCTGCTAAACGGAAAGGGAGAAACCATGATATCATTACGTAACCGGCAAGATTTTTTCTCAGGTGTTCAGAGCTACTAGCAAGACGTTCTATCCCGTTGGCTCTAGTGCTCTGAGCTCTAATGAAATGACAGCAACCGCAGTTTTAGAAATCCCTTTTTACTTTTTCTTTTTTTTTCATTTATAACTGTCGTTTTCAAAGACAGAAAAAAAAGTTATCCACAAAAGTTGTAATACTTTCTTACTAATGTAGCGACTTTTGTGTTTAACGTTTTTTTCCTCTCTTAGAGAGTAGGCTGTAGACGGAGTGCCAGATACAAAAACAACTGTACAATAAACGAAATCTTTTGCGAAATATTGCATCACGTAATCTAAAGACGGCGTTCAATTGTTTTTCTGGAGTCGTTTTGAAATCGCAAGAGAATTTCCTAAAACTTCGGTAACCACCGTTTCTTTTTTCGGCTATAAAAGCAAAAAGTTAGAGGCATCACAATCACTATATTTGTTCCAACGATAAAAGACGCCTCTCACTTTCGAGCTATTTGTTTTATTCCATAACATTTTTTTTGGGAAATCTTTTGTTTTCTCGTTCTTTTCTCTTGCACAGAACCCACTGGCAGACCACAAATTTCTAAACTTCCGGGCCGTACATCTGTTATAATTCAAGTTTATAACTTATTAAATGTGACACCCTATATATCTTTCCACTTTCAAAAAAAAATTATATCTAAAAAACTATTAGGAAAAGATTTAAGAGAAGAAAAATATTTCTTTATAATTTCTGTTGCAGTTAAGTGTTTTTTTCTTAAATTTGTACTACCGTTATTATTATTACAAAAAAACAAGCACTTATGAAAAATATCGTCAAAGTTCTATAAAGTTTAAAGGATATTTATCGACTAGAAAATTGATCCTTTTTGTTTTTTCAAAGAAATCAAACCGCTTAATTTTAATGATCGTTAAAGTTGGTAACGTTAACTGTTTTCCAGGAAAAAAAACGTACTCCAAAAAACGTTTAAAATGCATTTATTCTTATACAGTTGTGTCACCCATCTAATCACCTCCAATTACGTTGATTTACAAAATTTATGAAATTTAAAAATAACAGGAACGATTTACTTGGACTTGGGTGCAAAACGCGGTGGAAAAATACAGTTGCAACAAATTAAATAACGTTTTTATCGGAAAATTTTTATCAAGAACAAATGAATAAAATAGCATAAATGCAAACGGTCCGTGAAATTAAATTCTACACGATCTAAAGAGTGACCGCAAAAAACCTGTGATTTTCGCCCGTTTTTTTCACAATTCGCAGAGAATTAAAAAAATACATAGAAATATGTTTTTGGTTGCAAATTACTTGTTGTAAAAAACTGAAATGAGCATAGCTTTTAGTATTTTGATAATTTTAAAAGTCACCCCTACTTAGGGGTTGAAAAAATGCCAAAAATGAAGAATATTACCAATTGATATAAAAACTATTAGCATGTGAATTATCTTAATATATATTTTATTTGGAATTTTTACAATTATTTCTGATATTCTCTATTTTTGGGGATGATTCCCCCCAAGCGCGCTTAAGAGTAGATTTTCTAATTCAACATGCTTATTTCAGTCATGGGAATTAATCTTTCTTTGTATCAAGAATCATTCGATAGAAAAATTCACATGCTAATTATTTTTATATTTATTGGTAATATTCAATTCTTCATTTTGGGCGTCTTTTCAAGCCCTAAATAGGGGCGATTTTTGAAAATTTTCAAAAAACTAAAAGCTATGCTCATCTTAATTTTTTACGATGAGTAATTTGAGACCAAAAACATATTTTTATCTATTTCCTTTAGTTCTCTGCGAATTGTGAAAAAACAGGCGATTTTTGTGGTCACTCTATAAGAAAAACATTTTTGTGATTTTTGAAATTGATAAAAATTTTCTTTATTCTACAAAACGTTCTTAATCGCCTCATATTCGCCATGAAATTTGAGAAAAATTTTTCGTTTGCATATTCGAAGAGAATTTTCTTGCCTTTACAACACAAATATTTATCATCAAATTGTTTAGGTCCAATTACTAACACTATGAAATAAAAAAAAATGCTATCTTAGAGAAAATGTGATATCAGAACTGTTTTTTGCATTCAGTTACTAGTCCAGTAAAATCAGATTTTCACGTGCCAAAATTCAGTTCAGGACACAAAAACACGTAAAAAAATAAGGAAAAAATCTGTAGAATTGAATGAACTACTTCACCCCAGCTGAATGTTAGGGCTTCATTTTCAAAATGGCGTCCAAAGTTCGCAAAAACAGTTCTTTTCATTTAAAATAAAACTAAACATTTTAGAAAAAAATATTTTAGATAAAAATTGTAGAACTTTTTATAACAAAAATTTTGAGCCCAGCTCAATGTCGATTGATAAACAAATGCATTAATTATTGCAAAGAAACTGCAATTTTTTAAAACTTCGATCTTTAAAATAATTTTTTTTTTCAAACTTTCAGAATATGTAGTCTTTGGCAAGTAGAATAAGGGGATTTTTGTAAAATTGCAAAATATTTGATAGTTTTTGCAAAAATTGAGTTTTTTAAAAGAAATTTTTTTCAAGTTTCTATCAATCATACAGTAATGCACTTACGTGACCCATCTTGGGCTTAAAATTTTCTCAAAGAGTTGTCCTTTCCTGTGCAAATTGTGCTTGTATTGCAAAATAATTGGAAAAATGTGAAAAATCTACCAAAACATTGATTTCTTTTTTCGGATCGAAAAATTTAGATCTTTTTCTTGAAATTTAATCGAAATGGCAGTATTGCCATTTGAAAGCTGACATTTTTCCACGAATTTAAAAAGAAAATGTTCTATGACCAACAGGAGTCGAGAATTTTTTTTTCTCTCAAAAATTATTTTTTATATTGAAGTAAAAGTATTCAACTACAACATGTGTAAATTTCAAACCTTAATATTAATAAATGAGCTCGTAGCGATTTTTTGACAAAGAAAAAAAATTTTTCTCGGCTCCTGTTGGTTGTAGGATACATTTTTTTAAAAACTGCTGAAAAACTATCAGCTTTCAAATAGCAATAATGCCATTCTGATTAAATTTCAATGATAAGAAAAAGGTATATATTTTTTGAACCAAAAAAATAAATTAGTTTCGGTAGATTTTTCGCATCCTTCCAGTTATTTTGCAACATGTGCACAATTTGCACAGGAAAGTACAACTTTTAGAGAAAATTTATGATTTATTGAAACTTGAAAAAATTGTATTTTTTTCGAAAAACTCAATTTTTGCAAAAACTATGAAATATTTAACAATTTTACAAAAATATACTAAGTCTTATTGTACTTGCCAAGAACTACATATTCTGAAAGTTTGGTAAAAAAAATCTTTCTTGGTTTTAAAGATATAAAAGTTTTTAAAAAAATGCGGTTTTTAGATGTTTTTTTTTTTGCAATAACTAAAAAATTTGTTTATCAATTGACATCGGGCTGGCTTAAAATTTTTGTTATAAAAAGTTCTATAACTTTTGTCTAAAACATTTTTTTCTAAAATGTTTTTTTTAATGAAAAAAAAACAACTATTTTTGCGAACTTTGGAAGGCATTTTGAAAATGAAGCCGTAACATTCAGCTGGGGCAAAGTAGTTCATTCAATTCTATGGAACTTCTCCTAATTTTGACGTGTCTGTTTCCTGAACTAAATTTTGGCAAAAAACTGAGGCATTTTCAATAATTTGACTGATCTATACACTCAAAAATTACACCCGCGAGACATATTTTACCCGTTTTTTTGTCTATCTTTTCAGGAAATACGAAAATGCTCCCAAATTTTAAATTTGAACGATAAATTTCAAATACGAAAGCAAAATTTAGTTTAAATAAAAAAAAAATGTCAGCCTGTCTAATAATTTCTAATTGTGTTAATTTATAAAAATTGTAAAATATCAAAATAATAGTAATAATTTACTTGGATTTCAAATTTCAATGCAATATGTAGTAGGAACAATAATTAAATACGTTTTTTTTGTAAATTTCTTCATTTCATATTTGGAAAATTTTCGTCAAGCACAAAAAAAAATACATGAGCATAAATTAAGAAAGTCACGTTTCTTTTTTTTAGAAAATGATAACATTTTTTAATATTTTCAAAAATGCCAGGCAGTGTGAAATTTTTCTCTTTTCTCTCGCCGTTAAAACAAAATTTTTTATCAATTTTCTAGTCACTTTACGACCATTTAAACCTTATATTTCTAGAACACCCTGTACAAAAAAAAAAACATTACAAATCTAATGTTGAATAGAATACCCCCATGGAGAAATATGAGAAAGTTATTGTACATGACAAAAAAGGCAATTTTAAACAAATCAAAACATCGGAACTCGGTTTAGCGTTCAGTTAACCTCAAAAATTGACCCCGAAAAAACCTTACCTGTGTCACGTCTATCTTTTCGGGAAACACGAGAAACCTCCCAAAAACGTCAAAAAGTCCTCCGATCCGTTACTAAAAACAAATGTCCCTAAACGAGACGATAGCAATTATGACTTAAAAAAAAAATACATACAATAATAAATGAGCGTATAAACACAACTTACACTACCGTCCATCCCCTCCCCCTAACCTAACAATTCAAAAACGCTACGCCACTTTACCGTCGCTCACGATAGCGTAGCACTCACGAACTGGAAGACTACACGTAATATCATAGTTTCCTCTTACTACCGGGCCCACCAAACTCGATACCGTGGTTGCTCGCCTCCAAAATAAAAGCTTTCCAGTAGCAGGTAAAAAAAAATAGCACAAAAACCAATCCGTGACGGCCCACGGTCCTTATAAAGTCATCGAAATATCGTCGGTGGTTTGTAATGGCACACTAGTACCATAAAAAGTAAGGGAATTTCGTAGAATTCACAATACGAAATGATAAGAACCAGCTTTTCCGTTAAGAAAAATATAATAATGTGGATTTTCTGCTTAAGTCTAGGGTTTGAGGGTTACATTGGATGATGTACACCGAGATTTACAGGGTCGTCTGCGAAGTGATCTCTTCGTTCCTCTTCAGGAAGTTCTCGACGTACTCCCGTATCTCGTTTTCATCTGGAAAACATACAGGTACGTCACAATTTGATTTAGAGTACACGACAATCGAAACAATACATCATGTTTTATCTGAGATTTTGATAGATTGAGTATGACAGAATATACAGAGTGTTTCACATTAGAAACGACACGTTTATACTAAGCTGCACTCCTGAGAAGTAGGCCTTGAAAGTCGGGTTTCGAATTTCAAAAAAATCAATCTCAGTTATACTTGAACTTAGAAAAACCAAATTTGGTACATGGTGTGCTAGTACCAAGAGCATTAATTGACGGTGAGTAGAGTTAGGCCAAGCAAATAAAATGTTTACTCGGACAAAGTCCTATAAGCGAGATTATTGTAAAATTGTCTAAAGGGACATAATACAAGACATCTCTCATCTTGTGAGTCAAAAAATTTAATTAGCTAACTTTTCTATTTAAACAAATAAGTGAAGAAAACAGTTTTTTCATTTTGCAGGGAAAACCATCAATTTTAGCGAAAAGTGGCTCCCAGATAGCTTGTAGGGAGTAAAATTATCTACAAAATGAGACTTGTTAAATTAAAATCGATTAATAAACAAAAAAGTTATTGCAAAAAAACAAGAAAAGTGCCCATTTTTTAATTTGTTTATAACTATCGCACTTATTGTTAAAATTTTATAAGACCTATGACAAGTTGAGGGTTTTGTCATACTTTAAAAGTGTGCCAAAAGTGGGCGCTGTAGGTACAATAGTTTTCGCACAATTCTATTTGTTTATAACGGAGGCTCCAAAAGTTATGAACTTTAAGCCTCTGTACAGGCGTTAATTTTCAACCAAACATGATTCTGAAAGCGTCATTGTAATCTTAAAGACGTAATTAAGCGACCTATTAAAAAATATCACCGTTTTT